TGGCCTCTCCCATTGCGGAGCACAGGCTCCGGACGCACAGGCTCAGCAGCCATGGCTCACGGGCCCAGCCGCTCCACAGCATGTGGGATCCTCCCGGACCGGGGCACGAACCTGTGTCCCCTGCATCGGCAGGCGGACTCTCAACCACTGCGCCACCAGGGAAGCCCTGATTGTGGTTTTGATTTGCATTTCTCTAATAATTAGCGATGTTGAGTATCTTTTCATGTGCCTGTTGGCCATCTGTATGTCTTTTTTGGAAAACGTCTATTTAGGTCTTCTGCCCATTTTTTGATTGGGTTGTTTTTTTGTTATTGAGTTGTATGAGCTGTTTGTATATTTTGGAAATTAAGCCCTTGTTTGTCACATTATTTGCAAATATATTCTCCTATTCCATAGGTTGTCTTTTCATTTTGTTTATGGTTAACTTTGCTGTGCAAAAGCTTGTAAGTTTGATTAGGTTCCATTTGTTTATTTTTGTTTTTATTCCTATTGCCTTGGGGGACTGACCTAAGAAAACATTGGTCCGATTTATGTCAGAGAACGTTTTGCCTATATTCTGAGAGTTTTATGGTGTCATGTCTTATATTTAAGTCTTTAAGCCATTTTGAGCTTATTTTTGTGTATGGTGTGAGGGTGTGTTATAATTTCATTGATGTATGTGACTATCCAACTTTCCCAGCACCACTTGCTGAAGAGACTGTCTTTTCTCCATTGTATATCCTTGCCTCCTTTGTTGAAGACTAATTGACCATAGGTGTGTGGGGTAAGGAGTTTTGATATTGTAGACTTTCTCAATTATTTGAGCCCCTTCTGAATTAAATGCCAAAAATCACATAGCAATCTTTTAACAAAAATTATTTTTAATAATCTATCGGTTGACACCTCAATTTTCAGTTTTGTTGAAAGCAAGAGTTGGAAACTACCTAACTTTCAAAAGGACTGTTACCCAGTTAGAATCACTCACTTTTTAATTTCTGGGAAGCATACCAGAAAGGCTTTACCAAGACTTAACAAATTAATATTACATATATATTTTATTCTTTCAGATAGAAAGAATTCTTATTTAACCCAATACACTCAGAAATAACTGGGAACATAAAAAATGAATGTTAATATGCCTTTGCCCATTCAGCTCACCCTTGAACAACATGACTTTGTGTGGGTCCACTTATATGCAGGTTTTTTCAATAAATATATTGGAAAAATTTTTTGAGATCTGTGACAGTTTGAAAAAATTCTCAGACAAACCACATGGCCTAGAAATACTGAAACATGTTTTTAAAAGTTAGGTATGTCATGAATGCATAAAATATATGTACACACTAGTCTATTTTACCATTTACTACCATAAAATTTATACAGATCTATTATAAAAAATTAAAATTTATCAAAACTTAGGTACACAAACACTTACAGATCATACATGGCGCCATTCGCAGGCCAGAGAAATGTAAACAAACATAAAGATGCAGTATTAGGGCTTCCCTGGCGGCGCAGTGGTTGAGAGTCCGCCTGCCGATGCAGGGGACGTGGGTTCGTGACCCGGTCTGGAAAGATCCCACATGCCGTGGAGCGGCTGGGCCCGTGAGCCATGGCCGCTGAGCCTGCGCGTCCGGAGCCTGTGCTCCGCGACGGGAGAGGCTACAACAGGGAGACGGCCGCGTACCGCCAAAAAAAAAAAAAAAAAAAAAAAAAAAAAAAGATGCAGTATTAAATCATAGTTGCATGAAATTGACTGTAGTACTAACTGTACTACTCTAATAATTTTGTAGCCACCTCCTGTTGCTATTGCAGTAAGGTCAAGTGTTGTGAGTATCTGCTTAAAAGGCTTTGTGAGGCTAATCATCTCCACATGAGCAGCTACTAACTGCTCTCTCCAGTAAGAAACATATCACAGTAAAAAGTGATCTCTCATGGTTCTCACATATTTTCCGTTGTGTTTAAGGCAATACTGTACACCTTGAGTAACATCATAGGACCCATACAAAGTACTATCAGTGATGCCGGAAGTGCTCCCAAGAAGCAGAGAAAAGTCATGATGTTACAAGAAAAAGTTGAATTGCTTGATATGTACCGTAAATTCAGGTCTGCAGCTGTGGTTGTCCACCATTTCAAGACAAATGAATCCAGCGTACAGACCACTGCAAAAAAAGAAAAAGAAATTCTTGAAGCCCATTGCTGCAGCTACTCTAGCAGGAGTGAAAACCTTGCACTTTTTGCGAAATGCCTTTTTATCTTGTATTGAAAATGCAGCTTTTATGTGGGGGCAGGATTGCTGTAAGAAAGGCATACATGTAAACTCAAATGTGATTCGAGAAAAAGTGGTCATTACATGACAACTTAAAGCAAAAGGAAGATGAAGGATCCAAGGCTGGAGAATTTAATGCCAGCAAAGGATGGTTTGATCATTTTAGAAAGAGGTTTCGCTTAAAAAATGTCAAGACAACAGGAGAAACAGCTTCTGCTGACCAGAGGCAGCAGACAGGTTTCCAGAAGCCATTAAGAAAATCATTGAAGAGAAAGGATATCCATGTGAACAGATTTTTAATGCAGCTGAAAGTGCCCTATTTTGAAAAAAAAAAAAAAAGCCACAAAGGACATTTATTAGTAAGGAACAGAAGTGAGCAGCAGAATTTAAGGCAGGCAGGGGTAGGTTAACTCTACTGTTTTGCACAAATGCAGTGGGATTTGTGTCCAGGACTGCCCTTATTTACAGAGCTGCTAACCCCTGAGTCTTGAAGAGAAAAGATAAACACCAGCTGCCAGTCTTTTGTTTGTACGACAAGAAGGTCTGGACGAGAACCCTTTTTCTGGATTGGTTCCATGGGTACTCTGTCCCTGAAGTCAGGAAATACCTTGCCAGTAAGAGACTGCCTTTTATATTCTTTCGATATGGGACAATGCCCCTGGCCACCCAGAACCCTATGAGTTCAACACTGAAGGCGTCAGTGTGGTCTACTCGCCCCCAAACACAATGTCTCTAATTCAGCCTCTGGATCAAGGGGTCATAAGGACCCTTAAGGCTCATTACACACGGTACTGTATGGAAAGGATTGTCAACTCTATGGAAGAGGACCCTGCTAGAGAAAACATCATGACAGTCTGGAAATGTTATACCATTGAAGTTGCCATCATTGTTATAGAAAAAGCTGGGAAAGCCGTCAGTCCCCAAACAATAAATTCCTGCTAAGCTGTGAAAGCCAGAAGGCCCAATACAATAAATTCCTGCTGGAGAAAACTGTGTCCAGATGTTGTGCATGACTTCATGGGATTTACTACAGAGCCCGTCAAGGAAATCATGAAGGACATTGTGGATGTGGAACAAAAGGTGGGAGAGTGAAGGGTTTCAGGATATGGATCTTGAAGAAATTCAAGAGCTAATAGACACCACACCGGAGACGTTCACAGAAGATGACTTGACGGAGGTGAGTGCTTCTGAACCAGTGTCATACGAGGAGGAGGAAGACACAGAAGAAGCAGTGCCAGGAAACAAACTGACGTTAGACAATCTGGCAGAAGCGTTCTGATTAATTAAGGCTGCTTTTGACTTCTTTTACAACATAGACCCTTCTGTGATACAGGCACTGAAACTAAAGCAAATGGTGGCAGAAGGATTGGTACCGCACAGAAACATTTTTAGAGAAACGAAAAAGCAAATACGTCAGACAAGTTATGTTGTGTTTCCATAAAGTTACACCGAGTGCGCCTGCCTCTCCTGCCTCTGCCACCCCTGAGACAGCAAGACCAACCCCTCTTCTTTCTCCTCCACTCAGCCTGCTCAGCGCGAAGATGACAAGGATGAAGACCTTTATGATGATCCACTTCCACTTAATGTACAGTAAATAATCATCATGTGGTACAGTTAATAAACTTATCTGTTGTATATGTTTGTGTCTTTGTATGAAAGTCTAATACCTGCACAGCAAGAACCGTATGAGATATTTTCGTGTCAGCATCAGCAACTCCTAAGTATCCATCTTGTAGAACATCATGTGCAAGACTGGTATTGAAGAGGATACCCTATTCTTACATAGGCATAAGGTGAGTGATAGTTAATATAAAATTAATAATGTGTTAGTTTTCTTACTGTTTTATAACTTTGCTTTCAAAGACTTACTTTACTGTACAGTATGCCTCTCTGATAATTGGAGAAACCAGGTATCAGCCTATCATCACAGGTAAGTTGTTTTTAAAAAAATGTAACAGTGTTTCCAATACTATATTATGAATATGACTATAATACTATATGCTATAAAAATTTTATAACGATTCATTAGTGTATGGGCTAGGCTACCGTAAAGCAATCATATCGCTGCTTCTTCATTATCAATGCATGAATACCTGTAAATAAAAATTTCTTTTTTACATTATCTTTTCATTTTTCATGTCTGTTATTAGTGATACTTATAACACCTACAGTGTTTTGTATCATATAAGACAATACTGATGAAGGTGCTGACAGATGATTCATCCTGTAAACAGAGGATGTAAGCTCATGGTATTGATAAATAAAGTAAAATACTGTAAATGTATTTTCTCTTCCTTATGATATCTTTTTAAAAAATTAATTAATTTATTTGGCTGCATTGTGTCTTAGTTGCTGCACACAGGATCTTCATCGAGGCATGGGGGATCTTTTATTGCGGCATGCAGCCTCTTCGTTGCAGTGTGTGGGCTTCTCTCTAGTTGTGGCACTCAGGCTCCAGACTGTGTGGGCTCAGTAGTTGCGGTGCACAGGTTCTCTAGTTATGGCGTGCGGGCTCTAGAGCGTGCGGGCTCAGTGGTTGCAGTGCACGGGCTTAGTTGCCCCGTGGCACGTGGGATCTTAGTTCCCCGACCAGGGATTGAACCTGCGTCCCCTGCATTGGAAGGTGGATTCTTAACCACTGGACCACCAGGGACGTTCCCTGTGATTTCTTAAATAACATTTTCTTTTCTCTAGCTTACTTTATTGTAAGAATACAGTATATAATACATATAACATATAAAATATGTGTTAATTGATCATTTATATTATAGGTAAGGCTTCTGGCCAACAGTATGCTATGAGTAGTTAAGTTTTGGGGGAGTCACAACTATATAATGTGATTTTTGACTCTGTGGCTGGGGCGGGTGCTGGCACACCCAACCCTCACACTGTTCAACTATATAGTTTTTAAAAATAAAATGTGTATATAGGGTCAACTATATAATTTTTTAAAAATAAAATGTGTTATTTTTTCTTATTATGGGCTTTAACTATAATTTGTTAAAACCTTGGAGCTGCAGATTTGGTGCATTCAATTTAAGGGAAATGTCTGTCATATAAAAATATTGGCAAACCCAGATATTATCAAATTAATCATCCCATTAGTCTTCATTTTTCAATTTCAATAAACATGTGTTTCTCTATGGCACACATATCCCATCTGAATTCTAGCTCCAAACGAATGGCTAGATAAGGCAGAAAGCCTTGCCCTGAGCGTGCTTCCCTCTACTCCTCTCTACTCTTATGGATTCACCTGAGATCTTACCACCAGAATCTTCACCACTTGTGAAATCTCTTTCCAGTTCTCCAGCTCACTTGTTCTAGTCACTTGATGTTGTGGTGGGCAGAACAGAGGTCCCCCAAAGATGTCCACATTCTAAACCCAGGAACCTGTGACTATACTACCTTACATGGCAAAATGGACTTTGCAGATGTAAAAAAGTTACAGAGTTTAAGATAGCTAGGTTATCCTGGATTGTCTAGGTAGGCCCAACCTAATCACATGAAGCCTTAAAAGCAGAGAACTTTCTGTGGCTGGAGTCAGAGAAATGCAACAAAGAAGTAAAGCAGAAGAGATGTGGCAAAAGGGGCAGAGTCAGAGATATCTGAAGTGTGAGGAGGACTCCATGTGCTGTTGCTGGTTGGAGGATAGAAGAGACAACATAACAAGGAATGCAGGAGCTTCAGGAAGTTATAGAGGACTTCCCTGGTGGTCCAGTGGCTAAGACTCTGTGCTCCCAATGCAGGGGGCTCAGGTTTGATCCCTGGTCAGGGAACTAGATCCCTCATGCTGCAACTAAGAGTTCGCATGCCACAAATAAAGGTCCCGCATGCCACAACTAAAAAAAAAAGATCCCTCATGCTGCAACTAAAAAAAAAAGATCCTGCATGCCGCAACAACGATCCCACACGCAGCAACAAAGATCCTGCGTGCTGTAACTAAGACCTGGTGCAGCCAAATAAATAAATATTTTTAAAAAATAAAGAGCTGATGCTAGAAATTAAAAAGAAAAAAAGAAGTTATAGAGACTCCTGGCTGATAGCCAGAAAGGAAATGGGGACCTGAGCCCTACAACCACAAGAAACTGAGTTCTTTTTTTTTTTAAGTGAAGTATAATTGACTTACAAATATAATTGACTTACAATACTATATCAGCTTCAGGTGTACAACATAGTGATTCGATATTTTTATACACTACAAAATGTTCACCAAGATAAGTCTAGTTACCATCTGTCAGTATACAAAGTTATTAAAATATTATTGACTATATTCATGCTGAACATTACATCCCAATGACTTATTTATCTTATAACTGGAAGTCTGTGCCTCTTAATCTTCCTCACCTATTTCACACATCTATTCCTCCCCGACCCCACCACTGGCAACCACCAATTTCTTCTCTTGTATCTATGAGTCTGATTCATGTTTATTCCTTTGTTTCATTGTTTGGATTCCACATATAACTGAAATCATATGGTATTTGTCTTTCTCTGTCTGAGATTTCACTTAGCATAATACCCTCTACGTCCATCCATGCTGTCCCTAATGGGAAGGTTTAATTCTTTTTTATGTTTTTTATTTTTAATTAATTAATTAATTATTTTTGTCTGCGTTGGGTCTTCGTCGCTGCCCATGGGCTTTCTCTAGTTGCATTTAGCGGGGGCTGCTCTTCGTTGCAGTGCGTGGGCTTCTCTTGTTGCAGAGCGCAGGTTCTAGGCATGCGGGCTTCAGTAGTTGTGGTATGCGGGCTCAGTAGTTGTGGTGCATGGACTTAGTTGCTCCACGGCATGTGGGATCTTCGTGGACCAGAGATTGAACCTGTGTCCCCTGCATTGGCAGGTGGATTCTTAACCACTGCGCCACCAGGGAAGTCCCTCATTCTTTTTTATGGTTGGATGTATATATATATATATATATTTTACATCTTATCTATCAATTGGCACTTAAGTTGCTTCCATTATGTTGGCTGTTGCAAATAATGCTGCAGTGAACATAGGGGTGCATATGTCTTTTCAAATTAGTGTTTTTGGTTTCTTTGAAAAAATACCCAGAAATGGAATTGCTGGATTGTATGGTAGTTCTATTTTTAATTTTTTGAGGTAATGTCATACTGTTTTTCATAGGGCTGCACCAATTTATATTCCTACCAACAGTGTACAAGTGTTCCCTTTCCTCAATATCCTCACCAGCACTTATTATTTGTTGTCTTTTTGACAATAGCCATTCTGACAGGTGTGAAGTGATATCTCATGGTTTTGGTTTTCATTTCCCTGATGATTAGAGATGTTTAGCATCTTTACATGTGTCTGTTGCCCATCTGTATGTCTTCTCTGGGGAAATGTTCAGGTCCTCTGCCTATTTTTTAAAAAATTAAATTTAATTAATTAATTATTTTCTGCATTGGGTCTTCGTTGCTGTGCACAGGCTTTCTCTAGTTGTGGTGAGCGGGGGCTACTCTTTGTTGCGGTGCACAGGCTTCTCATTGCAGTGGCTTCTCTTGTTGTGGAGCATGGGCTCTAGGCACGTGGGCTTCAGTAATTGTGGCACATGGGCTCAGCAGTTGTGGCTCACGGGCTCTAGAGCACAGTCTCAGTAGTTGTGGCTCATGGTCTTAGTTGCTCCACGGCATGTGGGATCTTCTCAGACCAGGGCTCAAACCCGTGTCCCCTGCATTGGCAGGCGTATTGTTAACCACTGCACCACCAGGGAAGTCCCTCTGCCCATTAAAAAAAATTTTTTTTTTAATATATTGAGCTGCAGGAGTTCTTTGTATATTTTGGATATTAACCCCTTATAGGATATATCATTTGCAAATATCTTTTCCCATTCAAGAGTCTGTCTTTTTATTTTTTAAATTTATTTATTTTTTGGCTGTGCCACGTGGTTTTTGGGATCTTAGTTCTCCGACCAGGGATTGAACCCAGGCCCACAGCTGTGAAAG